CCAATAAAAGTCGACTTGTTGCTAAAGGCTATAGCCAAGTTGAAGGACTTGACTATGATGAAACTTTTGCTCCGGTTGCTAGGCTTGAATCTATTCGAATGTTGTTAGCTTTCGCAAGTGCTCTCAATTTCAAACTTTTTCAAATGGATGTTAAAAGTGCTTTTCTAAATGGACGGTTAAAAGAAGTTTACGTTGAACAACCCCCCGGTTTTGAAAATCCTGATTTTCCAAATCATGTTTGTAAACTTCATAAGGCTCTTTATGGACTCAAACAAGCTCCTAGAGCTTGGTATGAGCAGCTTACCGAACATCTCATCTCACATGGATTTGCAAAAGGAAATATTGATTCCACACTTTTTGTCAAAACAAAAGGAAAAGATCTTATCATTGTGCAAATTTATGTTGATGATATTATTTTTGGGTCAACTAATGAAGCCTTATGTAATGAATTTTCAGGAATTATGACAAGTGAATTTGAAATGAGCATGATGGGTGAGTTGAATTTCTTATTTGGACTTCAAATCAAGCAACTTGGAGATGGTATCTTCATTAGCCAAACCAAGTATGCCAAAGAATTAATCAAGAAATTCAACCTTGAAGACTCAAAGACATACCCAACTCCAATGAGCACATCTTTGAACCTTGACAACGACGAAAGCGGAAAACCCGTAAGCGAAAAGGTATATCGAGGTATGATTGGATGTTTGCTTTACTTAACTGCATCTAGACCCGATATAATGTTTTCCGTTTGCCTTTGTGCACGTTTCCAATCATCACCCAAAGAATCACATCTAAACACTGTCAAGCGAATAATTCGATATGTCAAGGGAACGACCAATATGGGTTTATGGTATCCCGAGAATACGAATTTAAGCTTGATAGGTTTTAGTGATGCAGACTTTGGAGGGTGTCGCATTTATCGGAAAAGCACAAGTGGCACATGTCAATTCATAGGTCATGCACTAGTGTCTAGGTCATCTAAGAAACAAAACTCTGTCGCCCTATCCACCGCCGAAGCGGAATATGTGGCTATGGGTAGTTGTGTTGCTCAAATTTTATGGATGATGCAAACACTTAGTGACTTTAACTTAAAATTTTCAAAAGTGCCTATCTTTTGTGACAATTCGAGTGCAATAAATATTTCCAAAAATCCCGTGTTGCATTCTAGGACTAAACATATAGAAATAAGACATCATTTCATACGTGATCATGTTGCAAAGGGACATATTCAAATTGAATATGTCAATACACTTGAACAACATGCCGACATTTTTAAAAAACCCTTGGATGAAAAACAATTTCTTCATATTTGTTGGGAAATGAGAATGCTTGAATTAAAGTGAATTTAAGGTTCTTATTATCCCATTACAATATAAAAATAAATCGATCAAGTCCAAATGCTCAAAACACGCATCTAGAGGTCGAAACAAAAACTTAAGGATGAGGCACGGTACCCTTGGTGGTACCCCATACCGCCTTAACGGTAGGGCCTACTATTAAAACGGTAGCCTAGTGCCGTTTGGACGCAGATACTGATAGAGGAGATTGGATTTTACACCCTTCACGGTAGCTTGTAACGGTAGCCTATGTCGTTTGTACGGTACCAAGGTACCGCTAGCACGGTACCGAGGTACCGACCGTCACTTCGGGTCAAACTTCCTTTAAAAACCCTAGATCGGCTAAATTCTTCCAGTTTGCACAGTTTCTCTCCCGATGCCCCCTTCCCGTCTCTCTATCCCGTACTTCAATCAAGGTGTTTTTCATTCCTATTTCATCAATTTCATCATCTATTAGCTTCAATTCATAAATTTCTTCATATACTCTCTTCAATTCGTGTATTTGGTGTCCAATTTCTCATTTTTGCCCAAAAATCACCATTTTCTCAAATTCTCTCAAAATGAGTGAAATTGTTTTCGATGTTCAAACCGATGTTCAAGCCGGGTTCAAGGCTTACGCCAACCCACATATTATCAAGGGTAGAACCCTTAAGCAAGATGACATACCCGTTGCCGTTCTTGACCTCATTCATGAACAAGGGTGGAGTTTTTTTCTTCAACTCCAAGCCCCCGTTTATGCGGAGCTTGTTCATGAATTTTATTCTTCATTGAGATACCATAGGTGGTGGTCCCAAAGTGGTGAGATACAAAGTCTAGAGGGGGGGTGAATAGACTTTGTTACAATTTTAAAACTTTTTTGTTTCTTTTGGAAACGTGAAAATAGTGTAAATCTAGAGTTCTTGGGAACTTTAGATTGTGTGCGGAATTTGGTGGGTAGTATGAGCAGTAATCAATATGGATGGGTTAGTTTTCACAATTAATATAATTGCAAGTAAGAGTAAAGATAAAACAGAGAGACACGCAAACTTTAACGAGGTTCGAAGGTGGGGTAATCCTTCTACGTCCTCAAAATCCACTATGTAGTTGGTTGTTGAATAAACAACCAACAATTACACTTGTGTGAATTTCTTGTTGGAACACGGGTTTACGCCTTACGTCGTACTAAAAACCATGCGAAATGGCACGAACTTGGTTAGCCGTGGTTTTCAACTAAATGACGTGGTTTTCAAGATGTTTTACTTGTTCTCTTAGCAAAATGCAATAAACAAATGTTTTCTAAACTTGGTTTTTATTTTGGAGAACTTGCATTTTTGACATCGGCTAACGGCGTGACTAAACCAACCATGGGTCTGGCTAAACCAGCCCAACAGCGATGTTGAGGTAATCAACAGCGCTGTCTGGACTGGGTAGCTAAAAACATGGTTTGGCGTTAAGTCTTCCAACAGCGATGTTGGTCACTAGACATCGCTGTTGAGCCAAGGTTGGATTTCCAGNCTTGGTTAGCCGTGGTTTTCAACTAAATGACGTGGTTTTCAAGATGTTTTACTTGTTCTCTTAGCAAAATGCAATAAACAAATGTTTTCTAAACTTGGTTTTTATTTTGGAGAACTTGCATTTTTGACATCGGCTAACGGCGTGACTAAACCAACCATGGGTCTGGCTAAACCAGCCCAACAGCGATGTTGAGGTAATCAACAGCGCTGTCTGGACTGGGTAGCTAAAAACATGGTTTGGCGTTAAGTCTTCCAACAGCGATGTTGGTCACTAGACATCGCTGTTGAGCCAAGGTTGGATTTCCAGAAACTTCTAGAACAGCGATGTAGGCATCCCTACATCGCCGTCCAACCTAAGCCAAAAATATAGTGCATTGGCAGAAAGTTTTTGGACAGCGATGTTGACCCAGCAACAGCGCTGTCAGGCCAAACTTCCATCTCCAAAGGTAGACCTAAACAGCGATGTTCTAGGATAGAACATCGATGTAGAGACCTGACCGTTGGAAGGAATTTAAGGCTAAAACTTTCCTTGTTTGGAAGTCAACAGCCAAAACAGCGATGTAGGGGTTTTGGACATCGCTGTTGGCATGACCGTTGCTTCCCAATTTTTAAAAATCAAGCCTAGAACAGCGATGTCCAGGCCTAGGACAACGCTGTCTGGGTGAATTTCAGCAGATCCAATTTTAATCAAATCCCACAAATTATGCCAATCACCCCTTAAATACTTTGGTCCGTTGGAGCCTATTTTTCTACTATAAAATGGGGTGTTTGGGTCTGTTTTACATATCACATTACTTCACAACTCCTACTCTTTCATTGCAAATCATTCTTCAATTTTTCATAGCTTTTGAGAGCCATTTTTGTGAAGCCTGTGTTGTGTTCTTGAGCGTTCTTAGTTTTCTCATTATCCACTCTAAAAGAGAGTATTGTTCTTGAGTGTTTTTAGTGTTCTTAGACACTTGACAAGAGAAGGTATCTCTCTTGTTGTTCGAAGGAAGGGTTGTTTCCTTCGAAGGTTCGTTGAGGTTCGTGTGACTCGAATTCTCAAGTTGTACGGGTTTGTTAAGCACCGTTAAGTTTAACGAGATAGTAATGTAGCTCGAGAGAGTCTCTCGGGAGGCTGGACTAGCCACAAGTTGTGGTGAACCAGGGTAAAATTGGTGTGCCTCGTTCTTTTCTCTTTACTTCTCGCTTATTCATTTTTATTCCTGCGATTTCTTGATCAAACGCTATTCATCCCCCCTCTAGCGTTGGTCTATTATTCTAACATTTCTGCACGGTATATCTTCGCAAGGCCAAAGTTGCTACTGCACTCGTGTTGGCTTTGTTGTTCCTTCGAAGGTCACGCTTCTTCAACAACTGCAAGATCCGAACAATAGGACCTGCAAGATCAACTTGTGAGAAAGTTGATCTACCCCCTTTTAATCAAGAAGTTTGATCAAAAGTTATATCCTTCAACGTAGTGTGGTACTTGAGGCAAGGAAACCTTCAAGTGTTTACACTATAGCTCTTTGGAAGGAGGAGAAGTTTGCTTCTGGATAAGGAGTTTTAGAAATCTTTCTTTATCAAGCTTTTTGGGCTAACTGTGAATGAGATAGCTTTGTTATTAGAGATTGCTTCGTTGTGTTCGTCTATCTCGTTGTTATTTTTTTTATCCAGTCTTCCAAGGTTGCTATTTATAGCTGGATTGGATAATCTATCCGTTGAATCAAAATAGACTATCCGTTGCATTTGCTGGTTTCAATTTTGAATGAAGATTGTGATTGAGGATTCCTCATTGGAGTGGGTGTTTGGACATACCCAATTGTTTGAGGAGGGATTCCTTTTTCCACAGAATTCGTCTTCTAGCTATTGTTCAAGAATTTTGGACTGTAGAACTTTACTCAGTTTGTCTTCTAGTGCTTGTTTAGGAATTCTGGACGAGCTCTTTAATTTGAGGGGTCCAGACTTTGTTTTCAAGTCATTTGTTCTTGAATCAGCTTAATTATCTTCAATCTAGCCATTGAAAATCAAGAGATTGATTTTTCCTTACCAACGGGTAGAATTTCTTCATTCAAGACTTAGAATTTTTCTAAGTCTTTTCTCACTTGTCCGCTTCTGAGAGTTCCGATTTTTTCTTGAGGCATCCGGTTCTTTTGCTGACAAATCCGAAAGAGTCATTCACAGACTTCCGGGTGAGAAAGAGATCCGCGCTAGTCTTCCGATTTGAATGACTTAGCCTTCAGCGGGTTGTAGCGAGACATCCGGTTATCATGTAGTGTTCCGGATTAGAGGATCTTCATCTGCTTTGAGAAATCCTTACTTGTCTCTGACATTTCCGATCAAGATATCCAATTTCTATATCACATAGTTTGATTAAGTCTTCGAGCATCAAACCACTTAAAGAAATATCACAACTTTATTGGAAATCTCAAGGGCTCGGTTTTAACAATATTTCTAAAGAGAAAAATTACATTGAATATTGGGGGAGGCCTAAAGTCCTTATTACATTCTAAATACATCATCATCAAAATCTATAATATTTTTTCCAACAATTTCCCCCTTTTTGATGATGACAAACAAGTGTTTAAGAGTTCCGGTCGCTGTACTGAGAACTAATTTTATAACTTTCTTTTAGTTTCTCATAATATACAGCTTGTTAACAAAAACTCTTAAACAAATACAATTCAAATTACAATAATTCCTAAACCAAGTCTTGTCTTGAAATTTTGTGATATTTTCCGCCATTGACCGTTTTCAGCTTCAGCAGATCTTGCTTATCAGTGCGGATGGCGTTGCGTTTGATAGATCTTTAATATCCAAAGTGGATATTTGAGATCTTGGAACCAACATCTCTCCAAAAAGCAAAAACAAGAACAAAAAGAAAGTGGAGGGAAAGGAGGCGGCGGTGGAAGAAAGGAAAAAAGACATAATGACAAGAAAAAGGTTTTGGAAAAGAGAATTGATTGAAAATAAAAAATAAAATAAGGTTTTTAAAAAAAAATTTGAGAAAGAAAAAAAATGCTTGAGTAAAGGGTGCAGAGACTGCACAAATAAAAGAAAGATAATTTTTTTTAAAGAGAATTAGAAGAAACAAAGATGGGGAGAGTGTTGTTTCCAGAGAAGGTGTATGGTGTAATCATGAAAAATACGAGATTTTCACCACAGACCTTCTCTACTGCCGAGATTCTCACCATAGACCTTGAAAGTCTTTTCTTCTCATTAGGCTTTCTCCATTGCCGTCTATGATGGTGAGAAAGAAAAATTTCTCCATTAAGGATAATTTTCTTGGTGTGTTTCTCAGACAGTGAGTTTGAAGACTTTTCATATTGAAAGAGTTGTTTGTGATACGAATGAATTTGGATGTCTTGATTTAAATAGGAGAGGAGGTAGAGAGAGGGGAGGTTCACGGGTTCCACTAATTGGGTAGTTGGAACGGTGAGAGTAAAAGAGTTTCAACTTCCAAGAAGTTGAAAAATGGAAGGAATCTTTTACCAGTTACCAATGTGTTGAAACTATTCAAATTTAAAAATCAGTTTCGTTTGGTTTGAAAAAAAAAGGTAACTGTTTTGGTTTGGCTAAGCCTGAAAGAGTGGCCCAAAAAAAATATCTATGTACTAAAGGGAAATTATTCCTGTTGGGTTCTCAAGGCCCAAAATAAAACTATCATTTTTCATTCCCTATAGTTCTAATTTCTAAATAGGACGAGGTAGTACCAAAAGAAAATTTGTAACTTATCTTAAAAGAAAAAGTGGTACTATTTTTCCAAAGTCCTGTACATTATGAAAATCCTAAGGACTAGTACTTAAGAGCAAAGTTGGAAATGGACTAAGGATTAAATCTCAGTTTTAAGAAGGCAGATTTTGTAAAGTACCTGAATCGGAGATCTCCAACTTTAGTACTTAAAATGAGGTATCCGGCTTCCGTTGCTTAGAGTTTATCAATAGTTCATTGCCAAAAACAATTGAAGCAATTGTTAGCCAAAAACAGTTAAGTTCCCCCTGAATTATATTCCCCCTGAATGTATGCGCTTAAGGATAAATCTAAAGAATCACACTTAAAGTGAAGCATAGTAAGCATATTAAGAGAAACATTGAAGCAATGTTTAATCCAAACAAGCAATGTTTAAACAAGAAGGTGTTTTCATCAAAGCAAAACAGTGTTTTCACATACTTCCCCCTGGTTTGATGAAAAAAAGCCTTCACTACTTCCTGCGCTTTGATGATCCGGCAATCTCACTAATGCCTTGCATGTTTCCACACAGTTCTTTGATGCGCCTTATGTTGTTGCGTCTCTCCTCTGTTTGGGCATCATTTGAGAAATGGGAGACAATGGTTCCAACAGCCTCTGTTCCATCTAGTCCAGAGCTAGATAGATGCTGTGTTGAGTTCTCCGGATTAGTTCTCTGAGCTTCGAGGATCAGGTCAGTCATGTTCAGATGCGAAGGAACATAAGAGATTTCTCCTTCCTTGACTGTAATAGGGAGCTCTGGAATCAAGGATGGACTGTGTTGTTGAAGAATCACTTCCATCTTGTGGTTGCCAGAGCTTGTGCTTAAGTGTCTGAACAGTCTGTGTGCTTCCTTCTGATTGTCAATAATAACCTTCAAGTAGTCTTTGGTTACTACTTGATTTGCTGAAGACACTGCTAGGGCTGATCTGATGTCCATTTGGAGAAGGGACATCTGCTTCTGTAAACTAACTGTGACATTTGCTATTTGCTCTCCGATTTTATTGACTTCTTTGAGTTGAAGATAACTGTTAGATGCATATGTCTCCATTGTGTCGTTCACAGAGTTACTCAATAGAGAGATGATCTCTAGAGTCTTGTTTACTGACTTGCTTATCTCCTTGAGATCTGAGCTGTGTTTCTCTTCAGATTTCTCAATCAGCATGTTGTGCCTGGCTTCCATCTGCTCTATCTCTTGCCTAAAGGAGGCATGCTGAAATGCTAGGGCTGATTCAATCAACTCTAGGACCTTCTTTGTCCAGGTTTCCAGTACTTCATCCGGAAGTGTAGAAATGGAAGAGCTATGGAAATGAAAGTTGGTTACCTGATGAGAAGAGGATGTTCTTTGGAAGAGTTGCATAGGAAGAGATTCAGCATCTTCTTGCACATCTTCATCATCATCAATCTTCAGCGTCCTTTCAGATTCTTCTTCTGCTTCATCAAGTATAAAATTTGATATATCCCTAGAGAGGGAGTCTCTTTCTTCACCTTCATTCTGCTCTTCAAAAACAGCTACTGGAGTTTCAGGGGCCTCCATTGTTGCCATTTGAACTTCCTTTTCAGCTTCTGTAGAATTCCTTTGGATTTCTACAGCTTGCTCTTCTTGGACTTCATTCGTTTCTGGAGGAGTGGACTGCTCCAGAATTTCTCCTGACTTCTCCGGGATCTCAAGTTCAGGCTGGTTGGAGATCTCACAAGGAGTTGTGCAAATCTCAAGGACTTGAGATTTGAGAGGTTGCTGAATTTCTTCTTCTGATGTTTCTTGGTTCTGTTCTAGTGGAGTAGAGGCTGCATTCTCTTGATCAGCTTCAGGCAGAACCGTTACAAAGGCAGGTGAGGTTTCCAGAAAGACTGGGAAATCCTCAGCTGTTGTTTCCAAATCAGCCTGTGCTTCAGAAGTGAGAATCATCTGATCTTCTGTGGCTTTTGAGAAGATCGGCTTGTAGACTGAAGGATCTTCATCATCCACTTCAAATTCTGAAGCTGGTGTGGTGGCCAAGTATTCTAGATGCAAGTCTTCATAGTTCCTTTTCCATACCCCATCCAAGATTTGTTCACGGCTGTGGTTGACTGGCAGTCCCAAGCACTTCTTGATGATCTTCTCATTCTTCAATTGTTGATCCCATCCCAACAACTGCTCTGCTGAATTTCCAACCTTCCAAGCTCTCCAGTCATAGTAGAGCTGCCAGAATTGGTTATCAGCATCATCTGTTTGAGGTTGAGGTGAGGAGGTTGGAAGACTATGGACTTGATGAACTTCTTCTTCAAGTTGTTGAGGACTCTGGTTGTGGGAAGAGTTTTCCTCAACTGGTTCCTTCTCCTTCAACTTATCCGGGTTGACATTTCCAGAAGTTGAGGGATTTGTGATTTTTCTCTTCTTCTTCCTTTGAAGCTCTTCTTGGGCAGTAACTTCTTCTTCTTCCATATTAACCAGAGCAAGATTCTGTGGTGCTTCAACACTAGGAGAGGGAGACACCACATGTTTCCTCTTGGCTATTTTTTCTTCAGATTTATGATGGGAAAATTGTCTGAAGAGGCTTCATCCTCTGCAGTTGTGCTGGCACCAGCTCTGTTTTCCCCTTTGGAAGACAGGTAGTATAGCCAATATCTGGCTTCATACTTCTTTCCTTCAGAAACAGCACCCAAAGACTCCAAGATATGTCCAATGTGCAGCCCAATTTACCTTAGACTTGGTAATGAGGGCATTGATGATGAAGGCCCTCTCTTGGGTGATGTCATCAGCATGTCCTCCACTTCCACACTCGAGGCATGCGATGACCAGTTCAAGGACTAGCTTGTAGTCGTTGTTCAGATTAGCTTTCTTCGCTGGGCCAGAGGGAGCTTGCCCAGAAATTCCAATAATATTCCAATCCAGATTCTTGGCTGGAAGTCTCCCAATTTCAACTCCAGAATTGGGAAGGTGAAGCTTTTCTCCCAATTTCTTCTGCGAAAGCTTTACTTTGGTCCCTCCAACATTGGAGTTGATGATTTGAATCGTCCTCTGTGGGTCCTTCTTTGATTTGACGGTCTTGACCTTTCCATTCTTGTAGAATTCAAGAACTTTGTTCTCATACTTGAATCGAATCTCCATATGAAGGAATTCGGAGAGCTCTTGAGCAGCAATCATCTCCAGATAGAATTGATAGAACGTTATTGAAGAGCACTTGGCTTCCAACTTCTGGAAATGGACATTAGCGCCAACAATCTTCATTTTCTTAGAAATTTGAGTGAGAAGATCTGAATAAATTAGGGTTCTTGAAAATTTTATCAGAAGGTTCTCGCGAAGAATACGATGAAAAATTTGAGTGGGCTGAGTGGGCAGTTGAGATCTGATTATAGTGGCGATTGGGTTTAATTTGGGCGATTTATGCGGCTAGTGGCGATTGGGTTTTTAACTGTTCCCAAGACCACGTGCCTACCCAATATTCTGACAGACGTGGAAAGTGGACTGCCACGTGTACCGCACTCAGTCTAATCGAATTAGACCAATTTTGTGAAGAAAATCGGAAAACTTGGCTTCACTTAGTGGTTTTGTGAAGATATCCGCCAATTGTTCTTCAATTGAGATATACTCAATTTTGATATCTTTCTTTTCCACATGATCTCTGATGAAGTGATGCTTGACATCAATGTGCTTAGTGCGAGAATGATGCAATGACTATAGCACTTTGATTGTCACAGAAAATTGTCACTTCTTTTGTCTTGACTCCATAATCCAGTAGTTGCTGCTTTAGCCACAAGATCTGAGCACAACAACTACCAGCAGCAATGTACTCTGCTTCTGCTGTTGATGTAGAGATGGAGTTTTGTTTCTTACTGAACAAAGAAACAAGATTTCCACCAATGAATTGACAAGTACCAGATGTACTTTTCCGGTCAACTTTGCATCCGGCGAAGTCAGAATCTGAGTATCCCACTAACTCAAATGTATTGCTCTTAGCATACCATAAACCCATGTTCTGAGTTCCTTTGAAGTATCTAAGAATCCTTTTAGCTGCGATCAGATGACTCTCCTTTGGCTTGGACTGGAATCTGGCACAAACACCTACTGCATATGAGATATCCGGACGAGTTGCAGTAAGGTAGAGTAGAGATCCAACAATTCCTCTGTAGAGAGTTTGATCAACATCCTTTCGGTCTACATCTATATCTAGCTTGGTGGATGTACTCATGGGGACAGAAATGGATGACTTTTGATCAACTTTAAATTTCTTGATAAGATCTCTTGTATACTTGGCTTGGTTAATGAGAGTCCATTACTTCTCTATTTGATTTGAAGACCAAGGTGTAGGATCGTTTTCTGGAACTTCCCAGTGGGTCACCCATCCTGGGACTACTCCCGTTCCAGCACGCTTAACTACAGAGTTCTGAAGTTAAAGAGGTGCCAAATGCTTTCTAAAACCAATTGGTGATAGGAAGGTCGACACTTTGTATTTAACCACATCTCTCTGTAGCCCCAAGCCAAGGTAGATTCCTATAGAGCACCCCCTATAGTTCACTACGGCAGTGCGGAGCCCCACTACTGAGCGGTGGATGGACAGGAGGGGCTTCGCAAGAAACACGACTCGTGTACCTCGTCAGCTTGGGCTGTCAGTACCCAATACCGTGACTAGCACAGTAGCGAATCCCTAAGGATGATCGATGGTCCCCCACAAGACCAACAATTGGTATCGGAGCCCGACCGATAAACTGTGTTCGGTTTTTATGACAGGTTTTGATAATGCCAAACCGCCGCGACATATCGAAGCTAAAGTGAGCAAAACTAAGGCGAAGGAACATGGCATGATGACTTGAGAACCAAGAACCCAGAATCAAGAACGAAGAACTAAAATCGTATTGAGTCGGTCTTAATGTGATCAAGACCGGCACAAAATTCCAAATCTTGGCTCTCTAGACTCAATTCATAAAAATCTCTTTAACATGTTCAAAAATATTTTTCTTAAGTTTAAACTTGGGCCAAAACACTTGGAGTTCGCCCAAGCCAAAAACCAAGCCATCCGGCGTTCGGCTTTCAGAAACCGGCATTCGGCTTTCGGTTTTCGGCATTGGTTTTTGTCGTTTAGTAAAAAGCATGCGAAACGGCACGAACTTGGTTAGCCGTGGTTTTCAACTAAATGACGTGGTTTTCAAGATGTTTTACTTGTTCTCTTAGCAAAATGCAATAAACAAATGTTTTCTAAACTTGGTTTTTATTTTGGAGAACTTGCATTTTTGACATCGGCTAACGGCGTGACTAAACCAACCATGGGTCTGGCTAAACCAGCCCAACAGCGATGTTGAGGTAATCAACAGCGCTGTCTGGACT